CCTGAAACGTCAGCTTTCCTGCTCCTCTGATGCTGCTTGGCCTGCTGTGTTCATCCAGCTCTACACCTTGTTATCTCAGATTCTCCAGCATCGGCAGTTCCTACTATCTCTGGGAATGTATAATATTTCACTTACAAAATTTCAGTCAAAATTTTTGACAAAAAAAGACCGACCACAGCTTGGTCTTCATTGTTATGGAAGAATCAGATTCGCTCAACATTGTTTCGTTTAAAACTTCCCTTTTCAAGAATGCAATTACAAGTGAAGAATTATTGTAATGATTTATGAGAATGGATCATTACACTGCTTTGTGTGGCTGATTTTAAAATCTGTCATTTTTAAAATTTACATATCGAGGTATGTGAAGCTTGTTTATATCCGTTGCACTAGGTTGAAGTGCTCTCATATATCCAAGTTTGTCTTAAACGTGCTCCCACCTGGTCTGTTAGTTCTAGTAAACTTCTCAAGTTACACATCATTCACTTGTGCAAAATAAGCAGAAATTCTACCTACTTGAGTGCATTATAAAAGGAAAATACTACGGATACTAGAAATCTGAAATAAAAGCAGAATGTTCTGGAAAATGGTAGCAGGTCTGGCTGCATTTGTGGAAGTAGAAACAGATAGTCAATGGTTCAAGTCAAATATGATTCTTAATTGGAGAGCTAAAATCTTATTGGATTTGAAATTATTGCTGGACTGTTAATCTGGAGATCTCAGTAATGTTCTGGTTATCTGGGTTCAAATCTCGCCACAGCAGATGATGGAATTTGAATTCAATTAAAATTCTGCAATTAAGAGTCTAATGATGACCGTGAAACCACTGTTGATTATTGGGGAAAAAAAAACATTAGGTTCATTAATGTCTTATAGGGAAGGAAACTGCCATCCTTGCTTGGCCTGGCCTACATGTGACTCCAGACCCACAACAATGTGGCTGACCCTTAACTACCTTCTGAACAATTAGGGATTGGCAATAAATGCTGACCTGTCCAGCGATGCCTTCATCCCATGAATTAAAAAACAAATGTTAACCGTTTATCTTTGCACAGATGCTCCCTGATCTAGTTTCTCCAGCACATTTTGATTTTAGGTCAGGTTTCCAGCATCTATTGTATTTTACTTTTATCGTCCGCACAAGTCATCATTTAGCAGAACTTCTGTCTCTTTAATTTAAAAAGAAATTGTATCCCTTAATTTAATCCATTGACTTATATTTGCACTTTAGAAATAAACCAGATTTCATAATATTAAGAGCCACTTGTTTGTACACTTGGCTGCTGCATCTAATTGAGTAAGGAGGAAGCTGGATCAGTGTCAACCTTTCGTAGAATCAAGAGCAATAAATAAACAACAGAACACATTAATTCTCAGCCAGTCTTTTTAGCATTGGATTCATGTCCCATGATCAGATGTTCAAATTTTAATCACAAGTTTATTATGTAAAGTTGTTTCTGAACATGCATGTATTTATTCAAGTATATTCAACAATAAGATGTAATTCCATTTAGATACATGCTAGTAATCAGACTGTATATTGAAGAAAGATACTGTCCTGTAATCATGTATGTAATGGAATCTATTTAGATAAATTTGTCATGATGTAATATGTACTGCCTCACTGGTGGTTCTGCAGGACCTTAGTCTTATGTTGCCTACCGTCCACCTTCCAGTCCTGGTGAATTTCTACTTAATCAACTTTGCATTTCACTGTACATTTTGTCGCAGTGTATAAAAACAATGACAGGATCATTGGCTTTACATTGAATTCAATCTGCATGAGCTCATTCAGTCTATGCTCTTTAAAATTAAAGTTGCACTTGACTTTTACTTCTTATTTACAGCGTTGCAGATGAGCAACTAGTGAATGTTAGCCTTAAAAAAAAAACTACGTTTTTCCAAGTTGGAGATGTTTTGTGCAATAATTAGCTGTTGTCCCATCACTTAAAAGTTCTTGTACTCCTGAAAGCCCCATCCCTAATTCACCCTGGTGTATTTAGTGAGGAATTCATAGGTGAATACTCCATGATTCTGCAGTACGTTTATTTCAATACTGAGTTTGTTAATGAGGACTGCAGCTCACCTTGTGAACAAGTGAAGTAACTCTGACAACAGCTTCCAGATTTGCACAATTCATCTCTTGTGAGAACTTGGTGCCAGATTTACTCCATAATCATGGTGAGTGTTATTAGCCTCATCTTATGTGTGAATTCTATTCATTTATACAGGTATAACTATCCCATGCACCTAATGGATTTCACGTTTTTTAAAAAAAATTGAACTTTGTGTGCTTTTTGGTTTTAAGGAGGAGAATTTTCTTTTACTGTTTCAGCTGATTTCCAGTCTGTGTCAAATCCTACTCAACCTGTTACCCATCAGCAACCTATAATCCCATCCCTGGGCCTGTGGGCAATGGTAACTCCTGAGATAAATGGTAAGTAGTTCTGCAGTAATTAGTGTTGGCCATTTATGTGCATGTAATTCAGCACCCAGATTACGGATTGATGAATGGAGAGCCTGTTTCGTTCCCAAGAATCTACATGAACTGTGTCTCAGCTTTTTTTTCACTCTATTTCTGGAGGGCGTGAGCTCAAAGCTGCCATTTTGGCACCAAATTGGCAGCCTGACTCAGGTTTGATGGCTGGTGATAGAAATGGAAAATCTCAAACTGGTCTTTTAGCAGCATCTTGATGAGCATAACGTGTCCTGTAATGTGAAAGCAAAATTGTCAGAGAAGCACTGAATGGCTAACACAAAATGGCTTTCTTTATACAAAAGCTTAAAAACCAAATAAAACATTCTTCTTTACACTCTAATTTGTTTCTTTGCTGTCTGTTGTGAACTGTCTACGTGATGTCACTGCACAGATATGCTTTCTGTTGAAGTATTGATGAGAAATATGAGGTATGACAACGTGGAGTGACAGAAAATCTATCTTCTTCACATTTCGGTATGCATTTTGATGTATTTGACACTTAAGTTATTGCATTGTTGATAATGGAATATAACGAATGCATTGTGTTTTTCTACGGGATATAATAAAGTGAAATACTGCTTTAAGATGCTCCACAAGACAGCAGGGTGTGATTTTGAGTGCCACTCTGCTTAAAATATGTGGACATTTATAGCTTGTACAGAGCTGGTTAAACTATAGGAAGGTCTCACTCTTTGGTCTTTTGGAAGCAGGGAGAGAAAATTTTGTGAATAAACTGTAGGGGTTTTGGAAGGGGTTTAGCCAAAACAGCAGAGAAGGCTCACAGGAACCTGCAGAGTTCATCAAAACTATAAGGTCAACATTCAATCTTATGTATGCAAGCTTCAAGGGGAGTGTGGGCTACAGTGTTTGAGAAAGAAATATCAAGGCAAAGTTTTCAAGCTGAGATAGTAACAACTGCCGATGCTGGAGTCAGAGATAACACAGTGTGGAGCTGGAGGAACACAACAGGCCAGGCAGCATCAGAGGATCAGGAAAGCTGACGTTTCGGGTTGGGACCCTTCTTCAGAAAATCCATTTTCTGATGCTTCTGGCCTGTTGTGTTCCTCCACACTGTGTTATCTAAGGTTTTCAAGCTGTTGTGCCATCTCTATGCCTATTTTTAATTGAATGTACACGAATACGGATTGTTTTAGAAAGTTTAACGTTCTTCACAAATGCTATTGATAGAAAATATTTTGAAATTCCAACAGGTGACATTAGTATTAATTTTTTTTGTCTCGTAGCTGCTTTCCAATCTTTGCCAAATGAAGCTCACAGGGTCGTGCCTTGGCCTCCACCAACCTCAGTAGCAAGAGCTCATGGTCTTAGCGGACTCCCAGACAATCAGCAAAGGGGTAAGGATGGAAATGTTCTGTTGAAGAGTGAAGCACAAGAAATGCATGTGGAAAGATTTGCATTTATATAATTCTTTGCACAGCCTCAGGAATACAATTTGGGCTGATATTTAGGAAGCATGATAACCAGTTTGTACAGAGTGAGATCTGACAAACACCCTGAAGTTATGACCAAGTCATTGATTTTATTTTGTGATGCTGGTTCAAGGTTAAATATAGAACAGGGCATTTACTGGGGGTGAAGGACAGAGTCCTCACTCTTTTCCAAAACAGTGCCTTGAAATCTATTCTGTTGCCCAGCGTGGGCAGGTGTAGGCAGATTGGAAATTCTAAACTGCACATCCCCAATTTGGTTGGCTGCACTATTGACAGCCATACCTACAGCTGCTTTAACCCTAAGATTTGGGATTGCCTCCCTATCCTCCTCCTCTCTGTATTAAATGAGAGACCCCTCAGTTTAAACTATGTCCTTTAGTTCAAGATACCTTTACACGAGGAAACATTCTCTCAGTACCTATTCTGTCAAGCTCCCTCAGAATCTTATATGTTTCAATTAGAAAAGGGAACATTTAATAGAGGACTTCAAAATCATGCAGAGCTTTGCTAGATTAAGTGAAGGAGAAACTGCTTTGAATGGCAGAAGGGTCAGTAACCAGACAATGCAATTTAAAGTAATTAGCCAAAACAAAGGCCATTAAGACATGTTTTCATGCAGGGGTCGCAATGGTCTGGAACACATTCCTTGAAAAATGATGCAAACATATTGTTACATTGATGACTGTATCGGCGCCGCCTCGTGCTCCCACGAGGAG